ATTTTTGATGAAATTGCAGAACAATGCATTGCCTTCCAGAATCCGATGAAGTATTTTTTGCCGCATTGTCAGATAGGTAATTTTTTGTTTATTATCAGGCAGGTAATTTTTATATTTCACTAATATGCAAAAATTTGGAAAAAGAAAATAAAGAAAACTTTTGTGATTTTGAAAAATTTTCGAAATTTTTGAATTTTGATGAAAATTTACGAATGATTTTATTTTTCATTAAATTAATTTCAGGATGATATCCGAGAAACGTAAACGTTGGCTTTCACAGAGCAATCTTTGCCATGTAAGTTTATTATTTTTCTATAATAACATTAATAGATGTGTACAATCCCCTTTTTAAATATTTAAGTAATCAAATCTAGAAATATTGAAGGAATTAAATAATTATGTATAAATACAATACTTTAGTTAAGCCATTACTTTTATCGTATTTTTTTTTTTGCTGAAATTCAAATTTTACTCGTAAATATTTGTCATTTTTTTTACTTATTTTACATTGCATTCATTGAATTTTGTGTATTAAAAAATTATTATATGATTATTATATTAAGAATATTGTGCTAATAATTTCATAAGTAAAAAATGAAAAATAATTAGAAATAAATAAACTGACATACACAATTAATATTCCAGCTTGTATTAATTAAATTTAATAAGTATCATACATACATTTCATATTCGTTTTATCTACTGACAATAATTTTATAAACAAAATGTTTATTATACATATTAATAAATGGTCATTTTACTTAATTGTTATACATTGTTGTACTTATTTGTTATACTTAATTGTTATAAATATTAATAAATAGTGAATATGCGGCATTAATTGTTATAAATATTAATAAATGGTCAATATACGGTCATTTTGAGGTTTTCGTTTCATCGTCAACAGATATCTCACTTTGTGAATTATTCGCACGTGTCGTGAATCGTTTACGTGCTACTCCTGCTTTATTTGCTGCTCTGGATGAGGTATTATTATATGCTAATTAAGTAAACAAAGTAATAGTTGACTGATCGTATAGTGGGAATGGAAAAAATGCTGTAAATTTGAAAACAATTGAGATAAGTTCTTATGAAATATATTATCATTATTATGATAATTTTTTTATATTTACAATAAATGTAATGTGTGATTATGGCATTTTATGTTTTAAACTTAAATACATATTGTTTTATAGGTATATCAACCAATTGAAATATGTGACAATGCCTTAAATGTAGAATATATAAACCGCGCCTATGAAACAAATACTGGCTGCAAACGGTAAAGTCTAATCTTTTAATATGGTAATGATGATTACTGTATGAGAGAAAAAGATTTAATTCTTTCAAAAATAGTTAAGCAACGAAATTGTTACTGTATTTTCCATGTAATAGATAGCTATTCATTATTAAACAGAATCATTATTAATCGTTATTAATCATTATGCATTTCATGTAACAGAATAAATACCTACGATGCATTACAAGAAATGGCACTGTTTCTGTATATTTCATGTAGTAGAACAGCTATGGTACATTACATAAAGCGGAAGTTACTGTATATTCCATGTAATAGAATAGTTACTTACGGTACATTACAAGTGATGAATTAGTTACGATACATTACAAGCCATTCATATAAGTTGTGAAATAATTTGCAGCGTTTTTTTTGTCTTAAAAAAGATATCATTCGTTTTTACATATTTTTTAAATTTGATGAAATATGAGCTTGAATGATTGTTGTTGTTTGTATTAAATGTAATGCAGTATATTTTAAAATAATTGCTTATCATTTTATAGTTTTTCTTCTGCTATTAAATTCCTTTTAAGAAATGAAGTTCTCGGTAAAAAATCATCCGATATTCGACGAAAATCACTGCAGCAAAAATATTCATCTCGATCAAAAGATTTTATTACAACAACTGTCGCAGGTGATGAAATGGAGCAAAAAGAAAATTATGAATGGCAATGTATACAAGTGCCTGGAAGTTCTACTAGGTAAGTAATAGTAACATGTGTATAAATAAATTTCAATAAAATTTTTTAAAGATTAACAATCTTTTAAAAATACCCTATAATAATGTACATGTATATCGTAAAATGTTGGTAAGTAATAGTAATATGTATATAAATAAATTTTAAGAAAAGCAAACATTAACAATGTCTTTAAAAATACCTTACTAATATACATATATAGCAAAATGTACAGATTATAGTAATATAATAATCATATTAATTATAGTGATCGTTTTATAATTACAATAATTTATAATCGTAGTAATCATATTGTAGTAATTATAGTAATCATATTAATAGAGCATTATCAATTAATGCATAACTCATTAGTAGTTAATATAGTGCCCAATTATTTTCCTTACTATTTGTAGTAGTAAAAAAACCTTTGAAACAATGACATTATATAAATCATAAGTTAGACAATTTTTTTTCATTTCAAAACAATTTTTTTTTAATTTAAAATATGCATAATATTTATGCTCAAAATAAAATATATATGTGCAGTTTTTTTTATGTGGTAAATTATGCCGTCAAAGGTAATTTTTGAGGTATTATAAAATTTATTCAAATGACCAATAAGCAAATGAATTGAATTTCGAATATTTCTATTCTAAATTAGTGAAAAAAAAAACTTCTTTCCAAACCTATTTCTCTTTTTCTTTTTTCTTTTTTCTTATAGCCAACAATTTGTTTATTTGAAACGACATAATTCAACACTTTCTACTGCTAATACATCAATACGAAATGAACGATCACAAACAGCGCTTGTCGATGCACCTATCAGTGAGGTAAATTAATTTTTACCTCTGAAAATATATTAATTATTTCTTTTTCATCTTTTCTATTTTATTTATAATTTTACTTTCGTTTATTTGTTTGCTTGTTGTTGTTGTTGTTGTTGTTGTTGTTGTTTTATTTTCCAGCTTTTTTTTTTCGGTTTTATTAGTCTTAATTAACAATTTAAAAGTAAAATTTTGCGTCTTTTTTTTTTCTTGTAAAATTTATAGTTATCTCATCGTACTAAAACTTTTTCATGTTTATATGTATACCTAATACTATCAAGTAATCTAATGTAATCACATTATAGTGGTAACGATATTAAAATATAATAGAGTATAATTTTATTGATATTTGTTGGAGAGTTTACATAATTTTAAAATACACTTGAAAATTTTAGCATAATGTTATCATTAGGATTTGGTAAATTGAACATCAAAAGTAAGTAAATATTGCATCAGGGATATTCGAAATGTAATTTACAGTAAAAATTATTGTTACTGTAAATTTAATTTAAAAAGTTAAATTTTACACTGAACAATTTTTTGCATACAATAAACAATCTGATGAGCAGTAGATGTTATATAATTAGCCAAATTTTGAGCAGCTTATTTCAGATGAATTATCAAATTATATTAATCATTAAGGTATTGAGAAGATTAAAATATGATTTTTACTTAGATTAAAAAAAAAATTAACATAATTTTATTAGAATTTGGATAAGGTTGCAACAATTTCGCGTCATTTATCATCCTGAAAATTTGTGTTTCACGATGAAAACTAAAAGTACCAAATCAAATCATTCGAGATATTTTATGTTTTATAGCAATTAAATTTAATTCTATACCAACTTTGATTACTACTTGCTAACATTATCGATATTTCATTCTAGTACATTCGATGTAACACAATATTTCTATCTGAACAACTAAACCAAGAAAATAATAAATATATAACTTTTCTTTTCCGATCAACTGGTCTGATTGATATCCTATCAATTTAGCAATTCTAATATTGTTTAAGCATTAGGAAATTTTGAAGTCCGACTTTTCATTCATTAATTTCCAAAACATTTTTCCTCCTCTGTTCACTTACTATTTCATCACTTTCCCTTTTCTCGATAATTCACTGAAATCTCAATATCAAATATCAAAAAATATCAGTTTTAAATACCAATTCTAAGTTATTATTTATTATTTAATTCTTGCATGATAGTATGTCACCTGTATCTAATGTTAAGTTTTTTTTTTCTGATATTTTGCTTTTTATCATTACATTTTGCATCTTCCATTGTTTCTCGATTTTATAGCTCTTTTTTGAAAACGAATCAATACATTTTTACAATTTTAATATTTTAAATTTTATGAAAGAAATATAATTAGACAAAATTGATTAAAAATTAATACAAATTTAATAATTTACCCGAAATAAGTCTTAAAATGATCTCAAAATTTTCCTAATTCAAAGAATTTGATGATTTTTTTTTTACTTTTCCCAGTTTTGAAGGAAAATTTCCAGATGAATTATATCCTAAAAAATATTCCTCCAAAATTTTTATTCTTCTAAATTTTTGATTCAACATCAGTTCTTCATTTTTTTTCATCTATAATTATGTTTTTAAGCATAATTTACCATTTTAACAAACATTTTTCATCCAATATAAACTTTAACTTTTATCAAAAAGATTAATTTTTTCCCGAACTATAAATCATTCGTATGAAACAATTGAAATAATGATCACGTGAGCATTAATTATGGTAAATATTATAATTATAAATTAAATCATTCAACGTTAATGCATCGTCCGACAAATTTCATCATGCAGATCATTAATTCATTATATTAACATAGTCAGGTATATATAATTCCAGTAACTCAAGAAATAACTTATCCAATTTACCAGTGAATTACATGTAGCTCATTTAGAGATTCTGAAAATATTTCTTATTAGTTCTTAATAATAAGTTATTCATTACAAATTAAACATTATATTCGAACGCTGAGCAAAAATATTGCAAAATGCATTTCTCAAGTAATTATGACCGAAATTTACTAGTAAAAGGCTATTTTAAATTAGTGCACATTTAAAGCTTTTTCACGTATCCTATTATCATACATAACGTTTATACAAACTTACTGATCTATGCATACGCTTAAAATTTAACTAATTTGAGCTCTTTTTGATTCTTCCCCTATCAAATCAAATTATCAATGTATGCATAATTTATTTAGTAGTATTATATATTTTAATTAACTTTCTTCTTTCTTAATTTAATTTCTTATATTAACAATTCATTAAATTTTCCATTTTATATTTTTTTTAAAAAAAAGGAATTCAAATTTAATCCCTTTCTTTTCTTTTTTTCCAAGTAAATTTAGAATTACTTATTTAACAAAACTTTAACTAATTAACTGAAATAAGACCATCATCTTTGTGGATATGTTGTTTCTATAGAATTTTCAATAAAAATGAATGATTATTGAGATTATAAATTTAAGGGTAAATTCTGTTAATTGTTAATTAAAAAATTTTTTACTTGCAATGTTACTATAATGATTATAATTATGGTGGCTTTATGCTTAATTATAAGAATCGTTATAGTAATAATATATAAATTTCAAATTTGATCATTTAATATGCTTTGAACATTTTATTCAAAATAATGCCAAAAAAGATATGTCGAGTATTTTATAGACTTAAAAAAAAAATAATAAATTAATTCATATGTTTTGAATTGTTAATTTTTATTTTTGTGATTTAAAAATTTTTATCAATTAAGTTTATAAAATTACTAAATTTCTCATTATATCTATCAAAATAATTGATATTTTGAGGTATTATTCTCATTACGAGATGCTATGATGCGAGCTGATGAACAAACACAACAACTTCTACGAGATGCAATTAGAGTTAGTAAATTTACATATTAATGAAATACTATTACAATAACAATTTACTGCCATAAATTTGATTATTTCATTCTTTGAAAAGCAAAAAAAAATTCTTGGAAAAGGAAAAGCAAGTAACAAAAAATGTAATGCATAACTTTTAATATCATTTTTTTGGTTAGCTTTAGCTTTATTATTGTTGAATTTTTGTTATTTCTTAAATTTAGGATTTTTATAAAATATTTTCTTTAGCTTAAATTGTATCATTCTCTTATTCTTTTGAGATGAATGAGATATTTTTGCTTTAGTCTTTTCATCTTTAAGCCAAAATAAGGGAAACAAAGAATTTGAAATTAAAAATTGAAAACGAAATTACAATATTTTTAGGCTAAATTAAAATATGCTAATCACAATATTTTCAGACGAAATTAAAAATTTCAATTAAAAATTGCTGTGATTATCAAAGATAAATTAAAAATAATGTTTGCTACTCATGAAATAAATTTTCGTAAAATGTATTTGTAGTAATTTCACTAATTTATTATAGTTACAAATACTGGCTAATTATAAAAGATATATTGAAATTTGAAATTTAAGCATCCATGCTAAAATGTATCATTCAAATAATTTATATGAAGTTATGAGTGATAAAAACAGTTCAAATATTTTGTAAATTTTAGGAGAAGAAATTTTTAAAAAGGCAAAAAAAATCAGCTGACATGTTTTATTTATTACTTTTAAGA